CAAACTGGGTTCGAACCAAACCCAGGCTCTTTGCTACAAAGCATGTTGCATTTGTCAAATCCTCTGGACACAGACCCCAAGTTTTATCCAGAGACTTGAAACTGCAGATTTTAAAGAAACAAGTCAATCAAAAACTATACATTTGTTCTGGGTGGAGGGTAATGGTGGAAATCTGCTTGCAAAATGATACTTACCTCTGCAGACGCTGATGTGATCCTCTACCCTTGCTGTCCAGCAATTTATACATCTGCCCCACAAATACTGAACTGAAATTACATACAAAACATTTCAGAAGCCCCCCCCCCCATTGCTCTGCCCAACATTTGCAAGGAAGTTGCTATAGGAAACTGCATACTTTGCTTTTTTTTTGTCTAATATTGGCTAAGAGGAGCTATGGTTCCCAAAAATGAAATGTAGTATTCTTCTTTAGAACCGCGTTTCATCTTTAGTTTGATGTCTGCACTTAATATGCATTTATTCAAAGTTACTAGTATGCTGTAAGACATCTCTAATTAATTTAGCAGAACGAAAACGTGTTATTTTTCTTTAGAGCTAGTGTGATAAGAATACGGCAGCTACTAAAGGGTGTTTCTGATAAGTGCTGGGATTTAGGCAGTTATTAAATTGCCAGATTATTGCAGTGTCTGGCCAGCTTGAGTGTTAACTGATTCAAGTGCTAAAAAGGCTGCACAATTACTGATAATCCTTAGCCTAATGACAGTCATTTGGTTCTTCTATCGAGGTCCAAAGTATCAAAATACATGATGGAACTATACAATGTAGTAATGCATGTTACTTTCACACCTGCCTGAATCCAGACATTTCTCAAGGAAGGTATCAACCTGAGAGCTTGATATACCGTAACTTGTCACATATCACTAAAATGTAAGATTAGAGGTTGTTTTACACCACCCATGTGTTCTACATATTTGCATTATAGATGGTATTGCGCAATTGTAAGCAATGAGTACATTTCAGGTGACATTGACATACTACCTAACTCAATCAGGTTTATTCCACAAACAAGTGCAGAGCAGTGCAATAACATAAAGCAATCAATCATTACTCACCCAAGCGGTCTGAAAGCTGACTGGTTACCATGGGCAATTGCTTTACATATCCTTATCACCCTTTGCACTGCTTCACAGAAGAAGCCATCAAGTAATGCAAAATATCTGAGAATCCAGACAATCCTGCATTTCTTCTCTCCTGTTGTAGAATTTGTTTATTATTCTTTCGATTAAATAGTTTTCTTCCCCTAACTTGCTGCTTAACCACTGGAGTCCAAGCTGCCATTTTAAACCGGTAACTGGATTACATCACTTTTTCTGAACAATTATTTAAAAATAGTGCCAGGCCTTAGCAGCTCTGGCGGATTTCAACAGAGGTTACTGCTGATACCACCAACTGTCAGTGACAGCCACCGTTCAGCACTAAGCCCAGGAGCCAAATTTATAATCTTCTAGGCTTGTTACCCTGTTACAGAATGCTCAATAAGCAATAACATGGTGACATACACTTTATCAAATGCAAAAGAATAGAGGAGGTAAGGGGTAGCAGCCCTGCCAAGTTTTTATTGCAAACTGGTTTAAAGACAAATTGTTTACCAGTACAATTGTTTTGCTGGATACCTGATGCTAGCTGAAGTGTGTGGGGAAAATTTTGTATTGAACTTGTAGTGATAACAGTCTAACATAGAATTATTCACCTTACAGAGATTTCCTTTTACTTCCTGTTGTCTTCACGGAACAGGGAGTATTCTCTAATGGAACAAAGATGGCTAAAAAAGAACTGTCGTTTTTTTACCCTTACCTATTCTATCCAGAACCAACTTTTAGTTATAGATTTTCTTTTAAACACTTCAAAGAAACACGCTGTTGTCATTTGTAAAGTCATAAGGACTTCCCGTGAGCTCCAGCAGTTCTGCACTGCCACCCCTCTAGCTACAAATCAATACAATTATTACCTATTGCTTGAGAAGAACAGTAAGCAACAGAACTCTATTTTTGTTCACCTGTGCTGCAAAGAGGCGTGGGGGAAGGAGGGGGGAGGAGCTGGATTAGGATAGGGGAGCCTATAAAGAATCAAAACAAATTAGAAAAAAAATGTTCTCCATTATTTCCAATGTCCCAAACAATAAACTAGATGCTCTGGATTATATTTGCATTTACTTGGTTTAAAAAATGTTCTGTCATTTCAAATTATTGCCGTTGCAAACCTTAAAAAAAAGGCAGCTTTGTGCTAATTTTTGTCTTCAAAATTCCAAACTTGTCTTAAACTTACAATAAATCTGTGCACATACATGTTATTGTTCCTGTGTATGTTGCAGTGTAATGTCAAATGTAAAAAATAACTTTCAATGCAAGCTATAGGGCCCGTTCACTAGCATGCACTACTTTTTTTAAATCGCACCACAACAACGCACGGTATTGCGGTACCGTGCGCTGTGGGGTGGTTGATCGCATAGCAGGAGGGAGTTGCATTTAGGGTGCTATTCAAATGAATGGCAACGCACCTCCCGCACTGTTAAAGCATGGTAGGTGCGTTCTGCGATACCATGAGATTAACGCACAGACCCAGTGTAAATGGTCCCTTACTGTGCAGTTATGTTAAGTAAAAATCATAATTTTGTGATATGCTTTTAGTGAAAATAATTTGTCAAATATATAATTTGGTAAAAATGTAAGGTCGCGCAAACTGACATATCTCCAAAACAACAAGGAGAAGGCTCTGGGAGTTAAAAGGAGAAAGGGAAAAAAATGCTCTGGGAATGAAGTAGTTAATGACTAGAAATGTCAACTTGTGTAGCAAGATGTTTCTATAGTTCTTGGCAATGCTTGCCCTTCCCCTTGGCAAATAGCAATAAAACAAGACCATCAGAGAAAATCTGCAACTGAAAATCTATGTCGAGGAGTTGCCTGAGTCAGCTTTTGAGTTTCATTTGTAATAAAGAAAACCTGTGCTGAAAGAAAAAAAACACAAAAAAAACATTGGGCTTCCACTCATGACCTCTGAATAAGATTTGCCCAGCTGCCTTGGCTTCAATATTCTCTAAGACACTGATCTGGACTGCATACTTGTTCCAGGTCACTGGCACAGACATTACTGATGCGACTGGATCAGCATGATAGGCAACTAGCATTTCTGAA